TCAGCACCCCTAGGGTCAGTACCCCCATGCTCAGCACCCCCAGGCTCAGTACCCCCAGGCACAGCACCCCCAAGCTCAGCACCCCCAGACTCAGTAACCCCAGGCTCAGCACCCCTAGGCTCAGCACCCCCAGGCTCAGCACCTCCAGAATCCGCACCCCCAGGCTCAGCACCCGCAGGCGTAGCACCTCCAGTCTCAGCACCCCCAGGCTCAGCTCCCGCAACAGCACCAGAGTCACCAGTGACCTCGACAGGCTCGACCGCGTCTACCTGGGACACACCTGAAGGGGCACGACCCTGAGGGGGGAGGGGGTCTACCGGGGGGGAACTTGGTACCAAGAAGAGCGGGGGCGGGGGGAGGGACGGAGTGCGGTAGGGGAAGAGGCGGTAGTAGGGTACCGACTCGTCGAACGTGACGTCCTGGGAGGACAGAACACGTCGAGAGGTGGGGTGGTAGAACTGCCACCCAGGGGCGTCGGGGGGGAACCCCAGGAAGACGAAGGGAGCAGCGCGAGGGGACAGCTTGTCCGCAGACAAGTCGCAGACAAACGCCCGAGATCCCCAGACCCGGAACGCCGACGCATCGCCAACCTTCCCCGTCCACAGCAGCGCTGGGGAGGTCTCCGGCCTGGAGACCCTGGGGTGGAGGTTGATCTGATGCGCTGCGTACCTGACCGCAAACGGCCACAGAAAATGGGGGGCAGCCGCATGCATCATGGACGTACGAGCGACGTCCATGACCATGCCAATGCGGCGCTCTGCAATCCCATTTTGCTGCGGGGAGTCCGGAAGCGTGAAGGTCTGGCGGATGCCTCGCGCACGACAGTAGGCTCGCAGAAGGCCAGAGGAGAACTCTCCGCCTCTGTCCAAGTGCAGACGCAACACACGAAAGTCCGAGCCAAAGCTCTGCCTGAGCTGGAGACGAGCTGCGCGGATCCAGTCGATCAGCACCTCAGTGACATCACCCTTGCTGCGCAAGGGGAAGACTGTGGTGTAACGCGAGTAGTCGTCAACCACCAGCAGGAAGTAGTGCTCGTGACCGAGTCCACGGACGCGGGCAGGGCCCCACACGTCCATGTGAAGCGTCTGCAACGGAGCCTCTGTCGGAGGAAACTGGGAGGAGTGAGGGGCAGCACGCTGGCGCCCCTCGACACAGGGGACACAGGCAGGGCCAGGGCCCTGAGGAAGGGGAGGTAGAGACCGGGGGAGACCAGACACAAGAAGACGGGAGGCCATGCCTCTGAGCCGAAGCAGAGAGGGGTGGCCAAGACGGTGGTGCCAGAGGAGGGTCTCGTGAGACAGACGGCGACACGAACAGGGGGCAGACTCAGGACCAGACCTGGACGCTGCAGCAAACACCTGACCAGACGAAGGGACTCTACCAGACTCAGCACCTGGAGGAGAAGCAGTGGTCAGTGTGTACAGGCTCGACCCTGGCTGACGTGTAAACGTAGCCAGGTGACGACCCGTGCTAGCCTCCGTGCAGTGCGTCACTCGCTGACTAGCAGGGGTGAACTGGTGGACTCCCACATCCTGTAGGTCAGCACCACTCACCAAGTTCGTAGAGAACGAGGGGAGGTAGAGACCAGACAGGGTGCCAGAGGGAGCCGCCGGACACAGGAGGACCGTGGAGAAGCGAGCCAGGACAGGACCCCCAGAGGGGTCAGCCAGGGAAACCGCAACCGGCCGACTAAGCGGCGTAAGTGTGGTGCGGTCCCGAAAGAAAGAGCGAGACGCCCCAGAGTCAAGAGTGAAGGTGTGGGAGGCCGAAGCCGACGCAGTACCTGAGAGCGCAGACGCACTAGTACCTGAGAGAGCAGTCTCACGAGCACCTGAGAGCACAGACGCACTGGCACCTAGAGCAGAAGCCTCATCGGCACCTGGAGCAGCAGTACCAATGCCCGGGTCGGGCGGGAAACACCGGTAACAGTCACCCTCCTCACTAATGGTCACAGCATACATGGCAGCAAGGATAGCATCAAAATCAAGATCAAAGATAGCTACACCAGCCCTAGACAGCTCTCCCCAGCGGGGGATCTCCGCGGCCTCCGGGAACTGCTGACGCCAAGCGTCCGTCAGGCGGCCAAAGCAGCGCTGGGCGGAGTGGGCACCCCCACACTGCTCTCCAGTGCGGTCGCCAGTGCGGAGAACGTAGGTGCAGGGACCAAAACCCCCACCGCGCTGACGCTGCGTGTACCACTCACGGAGCTGCTGAGGGGTGGGGACGTCGCGAGAACGCTGCTGCTGCTGCTGCTGCTGCTGCTGGCGCTGACCGTCACCAGTGCCGCTCCGCTGCGAAGCTCCACTCCGACCACCTCCACCTCCGCCACCCCCGCCTCCGCCTCCACCGCCCCCGCCTCCACCTCCACCGCCGCCACCTCCGCCACCTCCGCTACCACCGCCACCGCCGCCACCACTCCCGCCTCCACTGCTGCCACTAGCACCCCCACCCCCGCTACCACCTCCACCGCCACCCCCACTCCCTCCGCCGCCTCCACCTCCACCGCCACTGCCCCCACTGGCCCCACCCGCTCCCTTGCCCCCCTTTCCCTTGCCAGAGCGGCGTCTCCCGCTAGGGGCAGACGCCGCACCGACCGACTGAAGACCAACGAGGTCGGCCGCAGCGGCAGAGGCGACAGAGGGCAGGAGAGGGGAAGGAGAACACCCCTCAAAGATGGGGGCGCGGGGGTCACCTCGAGAGGCTCCTACAGCAACTAGCGTCAAAAGCGAGGACACTGGGTGTAGCCATGACGACGACAGTGGAGCAGTGCAAGCAGTAGGGGAAGGGTACGCAGTGACAGCAGTGCAGTGCTCATAGGGCAGGGCAGGTCGGGCGGCTCGGGAGGAAGGTCGCCTGGCCAAACGGCCGCTAAGCTGCTGGGCGGCTCGGCTCCTGGGCGGCTCGGCTGCTGCTGGGCGGCTCGGCTGCTGCTGGGCGGCTCGGCGGCTGCTGGCGGCGCGGCTGCTGCTGGGCGGCTCGGCGGCTCCGGGCGGCTCGGCTGCTGCTGGGCGGCTCGGCTACTGCTGGGCAGCTCGGCGGCTCCTGGGCGGCTCGGCTGCTCCGGGCGGCTCGGCTGCTGCAGGTGGGCGGCTCGTCTGCTGCAGTCGGGCGGCGCGAGAGCAAGGGGCGGCGGGGCCGTTAGTGCTGGGGCGGTGGGGCCGCGAGACCAGGGGCGGCGGGGCCGCGTAACAGGGGCGGCGGGACTGGGAGCGCTGGGGCGGCGGGGTCGCGAGATCAGGGGCGGCGGGGCCGTGAGCGCTGGGGCGGCGGGGCCGTGAGATCAGGGACGGCGGGGCCGCGGGCGCTGGGGCGGCGGGGCCGCGTATCAGGGGCGGCGGGGCCAGGAGCGCTGGGGCGGCGGGGCCGCGTAACAGGGGCGGCGGGGCCGGGAGCGCTGGGGCGGCGGGGCCGCGAGATCAGGGGCGGCGGGGCCGTGAGCGCTGGGGCGGCGGGGCCGTGAGATCAGGGACGGCGGGGCCGCGGGCGCTGGGGCGGCGGGGCCGCGTATCAGGGGCGGCGGGGCCGCGAGATCAGGGACGGCGGGGACCGCGAGTGCTTGGGCGGCGGGGCCGCGTATAAGGGACGGCGGGGGCCGCAAGCGCGTGGGCGGCGGGGCCGCGAGAGAAGAGGCGGCGGGGCCGCGTTCACTGGGTGGCGGGGCCGCGAGGGTAAGGCCGGCCGCTAGGGCGGCTTGGGGAAGGAGTGGCCCGAGGCGCGACTCGGGATGAGTGCGCTTCGGGCAGAAAAAAAAAGATTTCGAGTGGTGGGCCCTAGGCACAGTTCCCACAGGGGAACCTGCTCTATACCATGTGGAGAACTGAACGAGAATGAATGAACTATGAATGAAGTGAGTACAAATATGAAACCCTAATTGGGTTGTACCCCCTATGGGATACCTCACTATAGCCTACACAAATAAGTAAGCTATAATGTTCTGACACCGTCCCCGTATTATTAGAGATAGACCAAAGGCGCTTCCACCTTCCCCCGATCTTCCAGCAGCCGCCGTAGCGATGAGGCGCTCCAAGCTTCTCTTGGTCCTGCTCGCACTCTCCCTCGTCGTATCCCTCGCGCTGATTCAGCCGTGCCGCGCGAAAGAGATTGATGCTGAGGGCGATGCCGACGATGATTTCTCGGATGACGTCAGCGTGGATTCCGCCGCGTCGCCTCCTGGTACGAGGGGAGGCTCCAACCTGTCCCTTTAGAATATTCTCACTTTCGGTTTTCCCCTTGCCGCTTTGGCCGGCTAGGACGCTATAAGTTTCGTAGCGAATTTCTTTTCTAACCACGGTTTTCTGCCGCTTTCCCGACGACAGATCTCCTGAGCAAGCTTTTCGGCAGGACCAGGAGGTTCCTATGGTCCTCTGAGACGCACCGCATGCTGTCGTGCAAGTCGGATTGCGAGGCGAAGAATAAGAAGTGCAACACGGATTACAGCAAGTGCAAGCGGGAGAACAAGGACGACGAGCACGACCACCACAAGTGTACGCACAAGTACAAGCGGTGCAAGAAGAAGGCCAAGAAGTGCCGCTCTAAATGCGACTAAGTCAGCACAAGGACGAGTGTGATTGGGTTGAGTTTGTGTCACATAATCTGGAAATAGGGGCGACTTGGGTGGGCTGATCTGGAATCGTTACATGAAAATACCCACTTCTGGGACTTCGAAAATGTTTTGTTAACGAGTCAAAGTTCATCTCCACTCAGAGGTGGAGGGGGGTGGACGAGGGGAGAAGGGGGAAGGGGAGTGAAGGAGGGGAGGAGAGGATTAGGAGGGGTTGAAAGTGATGAGCTGAAATTCAGTTACGCTTGCTAATCATGTCAGTGGTTGTGGGCTGGCAAGTGAGGGAGATCTGCATAAGTGGGGAATGTGGGCTGATAGTAGTGCCGGTAAGATGCTGAAACTGATTGCAGAAAGCGGGTGAATCATAGTTGAAGCATACCTGGGATGAGTGAGCTTTCTATGATTCACCAACTATGATTCACCAACTATGAATCATCAACTATGATTCACCCGCTTTCTTCAGCTCACTCATCTCCCCTGGCAGCGCCTGCAGCTTCGCACAGCCCGACAAGCTCAGAGATTTGAGTCGCGTAAGCCGCGCAAAGTTGGGACACAGGGAGCGGATGGAGCTGTGCGGAATTGCCAGCTCGTTCAGGCAGGTAAGGCAGGTGAGAGAGGCAGGCAGCTGCTCAAGCTGCTCGCAGAAAAGGAGTTGCAGCTGCCGAAGCCGACACAAGGCACCGATGCCATCTGGGAGAGAGGCCAGTTGGGACGCATAGTGAACCTCCAAGCTCGTGAGGTTCTCAAGAGCTGTGACACTCGCTAGCAGCTCCCTCAACTCGTCCGCGCAAAGCTTCAGCTTCCGCAGCTGCGGCAACACCGTCCCCATATCGGGCGGCAGCCTTTGGACGTGTCCCGCGCCCTGAACAATCAGGGTGCGCAGCCGAGAAAGAAACGTCAGAGCGAAGGGAAGCTCCTCGGCATCGTTTGCCAACGTGAGCCTTAAATGCTCCAAATGAGACAGGCTTCTGCTCACAGCTTTCCCACACGCCACAGACACCCTGTTCAGGCAAAGTGTCCGAAGCCCCGTCAGCCTGGAGAGATCGGGCAGAGCCATGGCATGACTGAAGCTTCCCCAGCTGAGCACTTCAAGCGAGGCCAGCAGGACCTGAGGAGGGTGCTTCAGCGCGTCACACCAAGTCACCACCAGCTGCTTGAGCCTTGTAAGGCCGTCCAACCCAGTGGGCACGAAGGCGAGCTCTCTGCAGCCGGAGAGTGTGAGAGTTTCGAGGCGAGTCAGGCACGTCACCGACGCTGGAAGGGCCGTGAGATGCGAGCAGCAGGAGACGTGCAGCTCCCGCAGGTTGCTCAGCTCTCCCACGCCCTCTGGAAGCGCTTCCACGTGGCACAGCTCCAGCTCCAGCCTTGTCAGCGAGGAGATCTCGGTTAAGGAGGACGGGAGATGGCGCTGATGAGAGCTCTCTCTCACAAGAAGCGTCTGGAGGTTACACAGCCGTCCTATGTCTACTGGAAGCGCCACTCGTCCGAGGCAAAGGGTCTTGAGAGCTGTGAGGCAGTCGAACCCTGCTGGCAGCTCGTGGATCGGCTCGCACCAGAGCAGAAAGAAGGTCTCCAAGGCGCTGAGCTGGCAGAGGGAGTCAGGGAGGCTTGACAGCGGCAGCTTCTCCAGAACCAGAGTTTTCAGGGCAGATAATCTCCCAACGTTTTCGGGCAGGCAGCGAAACTCGAGGCAACTGTAGATTGACAGGGACTCGAGGCGGTTCAGGGAAGTGAAACCCTCGGGAAGCTCCTGCAAGAGCTCGCAGCTGCAAATGGTGAGCTCACGAAGACGCGGCAGCAGCTCTGCAATGTCGTCCGGAAGTCGCTCCAATTCTCGGCAACCTGATAACTCCAGCTATTCCAGGGTCGTGCACGGCCAGCTCGGAAGCAACATTTGGCTGGTGATCAGCGCCGACTTTATTAATGGTAACTGTGCGATGGTGAACTCAGCCGAGCCTGGGTCGTCAGGATAAAAGCTCGTCCGGGTAGAGACGGAGAGGGTGGTAATGCTGGGAAGGCGACGCACATTCGAGAGCTGCTCAATGCTCAACTCCACGGAGGCGATATGGAGAGTGGTGAGAGCGGTGAGGCTTTCCAGATCTGGATCTTCTAAGGCGGAGGCGGTTGTTAAGGCGAGGGTGTGTAGGCGTGTTAGGTGGAAGAAAGAAGGCGGTAGCTCCACGTCCAAATGGAGGCAGAGGAGTGAAAGCTGCTCCAGCTGAGAGCATTGCTTGAAGAACCGATCCAGGCCCGCTTCGGTGATCGGGTGCTGATGCTTCCATCCGGCGTAGCCCGGATCGTGCGTGATTTCGCTTCCTACGTGGAGGATTCTCAGGTTGGGACATGACGATGCGAGGTGAGATAGGAAGTTGTCGTCTAGGGTTTCAACGCTGCCGTCGCACAGATGGAGGTGGGTGAGGTTCGGGAAGCGAGCGACGGCGTGCGAGAGTTCTTGGAGGGAAATGACGCGATTTCGTTCCACGAGGAGGGTGGAGACGTCTCGCTTCGCTAGAGCGCGCCAACGACGGCACACGGAGGAGAGGAGGGCGATCTTGGCAGCGCTTGGAATGGCGGAGGGAGTTGGAATTAGAGTCGTCTCTTCCTCGGGGCTGGAATCTTCGTCGATCGGGATTGAGCGAAGGTACTGTGGCTTCGGCCACAATAGATGGCGAGACCATAACGCGTCACTGTCGGAAAGCCAAGATGTGTTCTCCTCGCAGTGCCATAGTATCTTAGCGAGGACGTCGTTGGGAAGATCGTTGATATGCGTCGCCGACTGCATTTCCTGGGGCGCGATCATAGTAGCAAAGTTTGGAAAGCGAGATCCAGTGACTTTGAAGCCTAGACTGACTAAAAAGTTCAAACGAGACTAAACACGAGTGTGACGTGACAGCACGAGGGATAGAACGCGCGGGAAAGCAGTGGAAGTCGACACTAGAGGCGTGAAACGCGGTGGAAGCGGTGGAAGTAGTGTTGCTCTAAACAGACTCGGAGGAGGTATTTATCCAAGTGACCAGAGAAAGGAGTGCCGCATGGATAACTTGAATTCATGGCGTGCCGTGTTGTGGAAGGTGCTTCTGTGCAAGCATATCATCCGCTCAACAGTAGGGAGAATGGAAGCTCAGGTGTGGTGTGGCGGGGGAAGCCCCTCCCCTGACGAGCTGGGGGGACGAGCGAGAGGTGGCGGAGACGAGTTGAAGACCGAGTCCTGCGGAGTAGGGCAAATAGGTGCGCAGAAGCAGAATTGCTGCGGAGGTGCGTGTGAGGACTTCTGTCTGGTGTTCGCTTTCGCGTGCACTGTACGCGATGGGAACGGAGTTCCGTACCAAACATTTTCGCTGAATGGTAACGATGTTTTGCACCAATTCGCATGCCAGAAAACACCGCTGAACAAGGTGGTGCGAGGTCCTCGCGTCCGGCATTGGTTCCAGAGTTGCTGGGAACTTGTTTTTCGCAAGCTAGTGCGAGAAGATCATGACGAGGAGGCAGCGATGGCACGGCCATGGTGTCTCTTGTCGAAACACCATGTTACCGAGTGTCCGCAAGTGATTTGCCACAGACGCTAGCAAGCCCGTTATGCGAACTTGTTCAGAGCAACGTCAACAAGCATATGTAGCGGCGAAATCGCGTGCGTCGGCGGAAATCGCGTTTCTCTCAAAAGAATCGACCTAAATTGCTCCGAACTCGCCACTTGGGCGTTTTCCTTAATTGGATGGACCGCGTTTGCCCCCGGCCCCCCAACCCGATTTTCCCGCCCTTCCCGTCCGAAATTCGGGGCAGCCGTGTGCACTCCCGTGAAGTCACAAACAGTCACGAATTCAAAATACTAGACGATTTGATTCTTCATTGTTGAATGACAGTCAGTTGTGCCATCAGCCGTTGTAGTACCTTTTTACTATATTTCTCATTTTCGTAGAAGATATAACCAGTAGTGATATATCCTGAAATTACTAATAGATGGAGCCTAACAAGTTAATAAAATATGATTTTGAATGAGATAATAATCAGTAATATGGATTTTATTAATTTTATGCCACTGAAGTAACAATCATTTTTAGAAGAATAAAAATATGAGGTTAATACTTTTGTCTAGACAATATAAAGCAGTAAAGTCATACAAAGTATCTACCTGATTAAAAAATAGTTAAAATTGATTTGACTTAGAGTGAATATTACTATGAATGAATTAGATTTTTATTTTATGTCTCCCAAAATCAGCTTTACGTGTAGATATCAACAGACATAAAAAGCTCTAGGTAATTTGTCATGTGTTTTCTTGCGCCCCTTTCTAATTGCATATTCTAATCCAAAAATACATGATACAATCAACGTGCATAAGAGTCTCTAGAGATTTAGAAGCAACCGCCGAAATTATCAAGACTCTGTTGCGAAAGCTGATGTGGCATGCCACAACTACACGAAGGATTTGGCCAAATCGTCTAGTACTTTGAATTCGTGACTGTTTGTAATTTCACGGGAGTACACACGGCTGCCCCGAATTTCGGAGGGGAAGGGCGGGAAAATCGGGTTGGGGGGCCGGGGGCAAACGTGGTCCATCCAATTCAGAAAAACGCCCACGTGGCGAGTTCGGAGCAATTTAGGTCGATTCTTTTGAGAGAAACGCGATTTCCGCCGATGCGTGCGATTTCGCCATATGTAGCATTTCAAAAAGTATGGACTTGAGTCCATGTTCTTGGCCAGAACAAAACAAAAGCACACACTAGAAAAGCAGACTCGCAGCTCACGAGGCCTTTAGTGCAGGATTAACTCCTCTTGCAAACGTAGTTGTTAGCGAGACACGAGTGATTCTATGGATGCTGTTCGGTATTTTTCCCGTAGTACCCAGTCTCTCGCTTGCATCAACTCGCACATCCTGCATGCGAAGCTTCCTAGACGAGTATCGGAAGTAAGCTTTCGAGCTCTTTTCCCTTTTCTACGCTTCCCTTTCAACGACCTATTTAGCTTCATCTCATTACTCCTGGTTTTTTTTCTTCTTATCTGAATGCTTGTCCCCACTCCATTCCGATCCTCATCGTTTCGGCCGTTTTTTAACGTGCTGAACACTGTTTATTCCGTAGCGCATCTCTCAGCTCGCTAACCAGTTTGCGCCTCAGCTCTCAGCCCCGTTGTTGGCCTCCCTCACATGCTTTCCGTTTCGTTCCTCCATTTCTCCTTCCTGCTCCTGCCCTCATCTGCTTCGCCCGCTCTACGCAAGCCTTCTCTTCTCGCATGTGACTACGATGCTTGTCCGCGAGTCCGTCTTCTTGCAACTCCCCTCCTCCTCCTTCCCTCATCGCTCTTTCCCAATCCCCCCGCATCAACACTCCGACCCTTTTCATACCCGCATGCGATGCTAACTCGGTCGCCAACGTCGCCAACCTACAGCCGTCGCAGGGCCAGCAGGGGAGCGCAGGGTGGCGGAGAAAGTCGGGCGACTACTGCATTCCTCTCCTCCCCTCCTTCCCCTCGCCCGTCCTTTCCTTCCCTCCTTCCCTACATCTCTCCTTTCCTCCCCTCCTCGCCTCAGGTCTCCCCGTCTCGCATTCAAGTGCGAAGCGCGGCCGCGGATTCGTCAAGCGGCCACGGCAGGGCGAGCAGGGAGGCGCAGGCCGCCAAGGAGGCCATGGAGATGCTGTGGCGCTCGCACAGCGGGGGCGGTGCTGCTGACGGGCTGAATCAAAGCGGGGTGAACCACAGCGGAGGAGTGAGCCATGGTGGGATGCAGCAGGCTCACGCGCAGCCGCTGTCCATGCCTGGCGGGGGGTTTGAGTATGGCGAGGAGGAGGGGGAGGGTGCGGGCCCAGGGGGGTTCACCCCAGAGAGCGTGCGATCGTTGCTGGAGGCTCTTGAACTGGAGGCGGCAGAGGAGTCGAAACACGCGCTCAGGTGAGGAGCAAGCACGGGCTGAGCTGAGCCGCACGCAGGGTGGCGTGGGTATGGGGAAGAGGAGGGGGAGGGTGCGGGCCCAATCGGATTCACCCCGGAGAGTGTGTGGTCGCTGCTGGAGGCGGTTGAACTGGAGGCGGCAGAGGAGTCGAAACACGCGCTCGGGTGAGCAGCACGCCTTCAAGGGAGCAGTCAGCACAGCCTGAGATGAGCAGCACGGCATGAGGTGAGCTGGGAGGCTTTTTTCTCAGCCATGGAATCGACACGACAGCCTGCCAAGTTGACTGTGTTCCTCTTCTCCCTCCCCCTTCTCATTGCCGCAGCATCGTGGACTGGGTGCTGTGGGCGCGCAAGAACAGCTACCAATCGTCCTCCTCCTCCTGCCTCCCCTCCCCTTCTATCTCCACCCCCCTTTATCCCCCCCATGGCAGCATTGTGGACCGGGTGCTGTGGGTGGACAAGAGCAGAGATAGCCACCCTAACCTTTCCCCTCCCTTCCCCATGGCAGCATCGTGGACCGCGTGCTGTGGGTGGACAAGCGAGTGCGCGACTACATGACGCCCAACCCCATCTGCCTGCACCGTGACATGTCGCTCCGCGACGCCGCTCAGGTGACACAGGGAGGGGCGGGTCAGGGGAGGGATAGGCGGGTCAGGGGAGGGATAGGCGGGTCAGGGGAGGGATAGGCGGGTCAGGGGAGGGATAGGTGGGTCAGGTGAGTGTGAGAGGGGCGGGTCTGGTGAGGGTGAGAGGGGCGAATCAGAGTAAGTGGGACAAGAATGCTCCCCTCTCCCCTCTTCCCCCTCCCGTCTCCCTTCTCCCGCCTGCCCTCTACCCACTCGCCTCTCCCGTCTCCCTTCTCCACACTCCCTTCTCCCCTGTACCTTCTACCCACTCTCTGCTCCCCTCTTTCCTTGCTCCCCTCATGCCTACCATACTCAATCAGCAGGCTCCATCCGTAGAGGCGGAGGAGGAAGAGACTGCAACAGGGGGAGATCAAACATGCCTCCCCTCTTCCCTCCTCCCTTTTCTCTCCTCTCTCCTATCTCCGCTCTCCTCTCCTTTCCGCCCCTCTCCTTCATTGCATCAGCATACATCTGTGGTGGAGGCAGAGGAAGAGAAGAATGCCACAGGAAGATCTCTAAGCTTCATCCCTCCTCACCCTCTCCCTCTCCCCTTCTCGTCCTGCCCACTCCCGCTTCTCTCCCATCGGCCTTCGTCACATGCAGATTTCCTGCACCATCGCATCATTGGGGCTCCAGTGGTGTAGGCGGAGGAGCAGGGGAGTGCCCCCAAGGTTGGTCAAGCATGCCTCCCCTCTCCCCTCCTCCTCCTCCCCACTCCTTTGCTCACACGCAGATCTTCCTGCGCCATCGCATCAGCGGGGCGCCAGTGGTGGAGGTGGCGGATGCAGAGGACGGCGGGGTGGGGCTGAGCAAGGTGGTGGGTGTGCTGTCTCAGCGCGACATCATGTGGAAGGAGCTCCGGACGCATGGCATGGTGGGTGCCATATGCGTGTGCCATTCTCGAGAGTTCTAAAATAGAGTGTGACAATGTGGGGCTGGGCATGCTGGTATGTGTGCTCTCTCAGCGCAATGTCATGTGGAAGGAAAGCGACTGCCGTGTTTGATTTTGCGGCGCCTTGCGAACCACCAGGACCATCTTAACCAGGGTTTCACACCCCCTCCCGTCTTCAACCCCCCTCATGTCCCTCATGTCCCTCATGCCCCTCATGCCCCTCATGCCCCTCATGCCCCTCATGCCCCTCATGCCCCTCATGCCCCTCATGCCCCTCATGCCCCTCATGCCCCTCATGCCCCTCATGCCCCTCATGCCCCTCATGCCCCTCATGCCACCATGCCACCATGCCACCATGCCCCTCATGCCACCATGCCACCACGTTCCGTCCACTGCAGGCGGAGGAGGAGTTTCTACGGCGCCTGGCCAACTACCAGGACCACCTCAACCAGGGGCCTCGGGTGGACAAGCTGCGCCAGCACCTCAGAAAGGCTGCCTCGCTACGGGTCAGTGGATTGGGATGGGTGGAGAGGAAGTTGAGTGGGTGGGACTGGGTGGGACTGGGTGGTGGTGAGGTGAGTGAGGGAGTGAGAACTGATGTCAGGGACCTCCAAAAGGCCGTTTTACTGCGGGTGAGTGGTGTGGGATGGGTTGGAGAGGGGGTTGAGTGGTTCAGAGTGGTGGGAGATTGGGTGGTGGGAGTGAGGGAATGAGAGCTACGAGCAGCAGGAGTGAGGACCATCTGAACCAGGGCCCGCAAATGGACAAGCCGCTGTAGCACCTCGGGAAGGCTGCTTCGCTGCGGGTCAGTGGATTGCGTTGGAGCAGGAAAGGGGGGTGAGTGGGATGAGGTGGAGAGTGAGGTGAGGGTGATTGGAGTGTGGCGCTGACGCGGGGTGAGTGAGTGAATGAGAGTGATTGAACCCGTTCTTTGCTCAAATAACCAACTCGATTCCATTTGGCACGTGGTGGACACTCATGGAACGTGAGTCTCATCTGCCATGCGCCTCATCTGCCATGCCCGGGTGTGTGCACGCTTGTGGGCTCTGGTGGTACCCTGTCGTGTGCCCTGATGTGTGCAATGCAACCCCCATCTCCCCCTGCTCACCTCCTCATCTACACCCTGCTGCAAGCAGGTGGCGGAGTTGGTGACAGACACGGTGCTGCAGGTGCAGCAGCTGGTGGTTTGTCAAACACTCATGCTTCCCCCCCCTTCCGCCCTCAAACCCTCCCCCGCCCCTCTCCCCATGTGCTGTAGTGTGTGCAGGAGGACCCTGTGGCTGTGGCTCGTCAGGCCCGCCTGCTCTTGAACCACCCATGCGGCCCGCCCACCCCCCTTCTCGTCCCCCCTCCCCATGCATCCTGGTGCGCCCAGGTGGAGGAGCGTTTGGCTTTTTTGACTCCCACGTGCCCTCATGTGAATCGCATGCCCTCTCATTTGCTCACAGGTACAAGAGTCGATGACAGACACGGTGCTGCAGGTGGAGCTGCCTGTGGCTAATCAGACTCTCATGCTCTCAAATCCTCTCTCACCCCCCCACTCCCCTTTCATCGCCCCATGCATGCCCTCTCATCTGCTCACAGGTGGAGGAGTCGATGACGGACACGGTGCTGCAGGTGGAGGAGGACTCGTTCATGGTGGACGCCACTGAGATCATGCTCAACTGCAATGTGCGTACAGTGCAGTTCATGTTGCTCGTGTACAGTACATCATGCTTATTTTCAACCATGCTTATATTTAATATGGGTGATGCTCATGGTGGACGCCACTGAGATCATGCTCAACTGCTCAATGTTAGTCATGGCCAATGGTGATGCACAATGAAGCATGCTTACGTGAAAATCGTCATGTGAGGCATAGTGTTGAAACATGCATTCTGTGTGCGTCATTCATAATCTCGTAGCAAGTGGTGCGTCAGTGTATCTCATAGCTGTCATGTGATTCTTCAGGATTCGGCATCGCTCTGGTTGTCTTGCATTGTTCACACATCCTGTCCCTGTCTCATGGTGTCTCATGGTGTTTCATGGTGTCTCATGGTGTTTCATGGTGTCTCATGGTGTCTCATGGTGTCTCATGGTGTCTCATGGTGCACCGCGTGTGCACCGCGTGTGCACCCTATGCACTTCCCTCTCCTGTGCTCATGCCTGCTCTCTGCACTTGCTGCTTCCTCCCTCCCCCCTGCATGCCCTGCATGCGCCATATTCTATGCGGCACACCACAGGTGTCTCGCCTGCCTGTGGTGGCGCGGCTCCCGGATGGTCGCAGGACTCTCACAGGCATCATCACATGCAGCGACATTCTGCGGCACACGCTGCTGCTGCTCTAGAAGTGGATTTGAGTCGACTCAGAGTACATTGTAAAGCACACGTTGCAGCTGCCACGAAACCGCATACACTCATATTTTCGAATCACCGGCATACTCTCACCGGCATCATCACATGCAGCGACATTCTATGCCACATGCTGCTGCTGCTGCTGCTGCTGCTGCTCCAGAGGTGACTCTTAGAGCGAGCCTTCTACAGACATTCCACATCACACACTGCCGCTGTTGCTGCTGCAGCAGCAGCATGTGCTGCCATGGGAGAGGCTGCCCACACTCATTCTCCACCACACCCCCGGTCCACATCCACCCACACTCCCTATTCATCGCCACACTCTCGTCGTCACATCGTTACCTGCAGCAGCGACATACCAAGGCACATTGCTGCTGCTGCTGCTGCTGCTGCTGCTGCTGCTCTAGAGGCATGTGCTGCCATGCAACATCTGCCTGGCTATGTGCCACCACACTCTCATCCGCATCGTCAGCTGTGACGGCATTGTCTGTCGCCCGCCACTACCGCTGCTGCTGTAGAAACAAGCACTGCCAAGGATAACTTTTGAGTCGACTCAAAAGTCAACAAGCACTGCCATGGATAAACTCCAGCTATTTCGGCCTTCGTAATGGCCACCACCACACATCAGCGTCGTCAGTTGCATCTACGACCTCCTCAGTCGCTCGCTACGCTACTGCCCTACATACTCGCTCCTATTGCTGCTGTACGGCGCCTCAAAAGTTAGTAGTGACATTTTCAGTCGCATGCTACTGCCGCGGCTGCTTTACTTCCTCTTCTTGCCTCTCATGACTCTCACTGGTGCTAATCTTCTCACCTCACACTCTGCTGCTGCTGCTGCTGCTGTAGACAACTTCTTGCTGCCTCAAGCAAGCACCTCTAGTCACCTGTTTAAGTGTGTATTATATTACCTGCGTGTATCTACTTATGGAAAGCAGACGTGCTGAGTTATAGGAATCTGTAAGTTGGACAGCACACATACTACTTTGCTCGAAAGACCTGTTACAGTGCTTTCAGTTGATTTTTGCTCTAGAATTTAGTCTGGAAGAAAAGGTATAGCATTCTTGCACTGATGTATTTGTTTTCATGTTCTGTAGAATAACGAATCGCCTTACGAAACAGACGCGCATCGCCGCTGATTTCACAACCCCCCCCTCCCCTCATCGTCAACCCCAGTTCGCCATTCCGCATTCACACTATCTGGTAACCACACTGGTAGTCAGAGCCATTCGCACATTCGGACAGCACAACTAGCTCCTTCGCCATGATCCAGCCTGCTGCAGCTGCAGCCGCTTCCGCCATCTCCTCCGCTTCCGCCACTTCCGCGCGCCCTTCCGCCCTTAGCGCCTACCGCACGTTGCTCCGCGCGATCCGCAAATCCTTCCCCGGGGACCAGCACGCGCAGTCCGCAGGGCGCGCGGAGGTGCGCGGGCACTTCGAGGGGAACCGCGGGGAGGCGGACGAGCGGCGGCTGGCGGAGCTGGAGAGGGACGCGCGGGACGCGGCGGAGATGCTCCGGACGATGGTGGTGCAGGCGCGGCTGAACGAACGGGGGAACTTCGGTGAGGGAAAGGGGGCAGCGATGGGGGGAGCGATGGGGGAGTGATGGGAGGAGCGACGGGGGAGTGATGGGGGGGGCGATGAGGGGGGGGCGATGGGGGGGACGATGGGGGGAGTGATGGGGGGAGTGATGGGGGGGGCGATGGGGGGAGAGATGGGGGAAGCGATGGGGAGCAGTTGGGGGAAGGATAGGAGTTTCAGGAGGAAAGGGGTGGATATCACTGTACTGGGCGGTTCATGGGGAGAGGGCAGTTGAGGGGGGAAAGTGGTGCACGGCACGCTGGTGGTGCACGGCACGCTGGTGGTGCAATCACGGCACGCTGGTGGTGCAAGCACGGCACGCTGGTGGTGCACGGCACGCTGGTGGTGCAAGCACGGCTCAACGACCGGAGGAAATTCGGTGAGCCCTTGGGGGAGCGATGGGGGGGACGATGGGGGGAACGAGGAGGGCGATTGGGAAAAATATGGAGTTCCAAGGGGAAAAGGGTGGATGTCACTGATTTGCATAGTTGAGGGGGGAAGGGCGGTTGAGGGGGGAAGGGCGGTTGAGGGGGGAAGGGCGGTTGAGGAGGGAAGGGCGGTTGAGGAGGGAAGGGCGGTTGAGGAGGGAAGGGCGGTTGAGGAGGGAAGGGCGGTTGAGGAGGGAAGGGCGGTTGAGGAGGGAAGGGCGGTTGAGGAGGGAAGGGCGGTTGAGGAGGGAAGGGCGGTTGAGGAGGGAAGGGCGGTTGAGGAGGGAAGGGCGGTTGAGGAGGGAAGGGCGGTTGAGGAGGGAAGGGCGGTTGAGGAGGGAAGGGCGGTTGAGGAGGGAAGGGCGGTTGAGGAGGGAAGGGCGGTTGAGGAGGGAAGGGCGGTTGAGGAGGGAAGGGCGGTTGAGGAGGGAAGGGCGGTTGAGGAGAGAAGGGCGGTTGAGGAGGGAAGGGCGGTTGAGGGGGGAAGGTGGTGCGCAGCGCATGATGGGGTGGCAGACACGAGTGATGGGGTGGGGGAATCGTGGCGCACCCAGTGGACCAGGGGGCGAACGGGGGAGGGGAGGAGGAGGGAGAGGGGGGCGAAGAGATGGCTATAGGCTGAGGGAAGAGGGAGAGGGGAGGAAGTAGGTGCGGAAGGGGGGAGGAAGTGACGGGCGGAGCAGCGGGTCAAGGAGGCACGATCGTAATCGTGATGGCAAACGGTTGAGGGCATGAACGGGTTGAGGGGGATGGATGGGTTGAGGGGGATGGATGGGTTGAGGGGGGTGAACGGGTTGAGGAGATAAACGGGTTGAGGAGATGAACGGGTTGAGGAGATGAACGGGTTGAGGAGATGAACGGGTTGAGGAGATGAACGGGTTGAGGAGATGAACGGGTTGAGGAGATGAACGGGTTGAGGAGATGAACGGGTTGAGGAGATGAACGGGTTGAGGAGATGAACGGGTTGAGGAGATGAACGGGTTGAGGAGATGAAGGGGTTGAGGAGATGAAGGGGTTGAGGAGATGAAGGGGTTGAGGAGATGAAGGGGTTGAGGAGAGTTATAGATGAAGGGGGGTGCGGAAAACGGGCTGAGGTGGGCATGCTGGTGATAATGGGGCGAGGGGATTGTGATAAAAAGGGATTGTGACCAAAAGGGATTGTGATCAAAAGGGATTGTGATCAAAAGGGATTGTGATCAAAGGGGATTGTGATCAAAAGGGATTGTGACCAAAAGGGATTGTGATCAAAGGGGTGAAGTGAAGCAAGCAGGGGGAGTTGGGATCGCGGGAATGGGGCGAGGGTAGAGGGAGGAGGGGTGTGGGTAGGAGGAGGCGGAGGCTTGGTGTGGGGGAAGAGAGAACGACGGGGGGAGATGTGGAGCAGGGGATGGGGGATAAGGGAAGAGAGGGGTGGTTGAGAGGAAGAGAGGGAGGTGTCAATGGGGAGAAAAGGGCTGAGAGGGATGAGGGGGATTGGAGAGGGGGGGGGCGACTGGCCTTGGGCATCTGCCTGTGCTGGGCCCACCCACCGCATGTGCCACAGTGGCGGGTCAGGGCATGGTGGATGGGAGGGGGTGGTCTGGAGAGGCGTGCAGAATGGGGAATGGGTGGGGAGGCGGGATGAAGCAAGGGAATTCTGTCCGTGCATGCCATCTTGTCTGCCCTCGCATCTGCCCTCGCGTCTGCCCTCTTGTCTGCCCGTGGGCAGGGGGGACATGGGGCAGGGGGAGGGGGTTGCGGGAGGGCCAAATTTTGGGAATAGGGTGAGGGCGGTGTGGTGAGGTTTGAGATTGTGAGGAATTGTGTTTTGAGACTTTTCAAAACACTACTTCATACACGTGGCTTTCCTTTGTGAATAGGGTGAGGGCGGTGTGGTGAGGTTTGAGATTGTGAGGAATTGTGTTTTGAGACTTTTCAAAACACTAATTCATACACGTGGCTTTCCTTTGTGAATAGGGTGAGGGCGGTGTGGTGAGGTTTGAGATTGTGAGGAATTGTGTTTTGAGACTTTTCAAAACACTACTTCATACACGTGGCTTTCCTTTGTGAATAGGGTGAGGGCGGTGTGGTGAGGTTTGAGATTGTGAGGAATTGTGTTTTGAGACTTTTCAAAACACTACTTCATACACGTGGCTTTCCTTTGTGAATAGGGTGAGGGCGGTGTGGTGAGGTTTGAGATTGTGAGGAATTGTGTTTTGAGACTTTTCAAAACACTAATTCATACACGTGGCTTTCCTTTGTGAATAGGGTGAGGGCGGTGTGGTGAGGTTTGAGATTGTGAGGAATTGTGTTTTGAGACTTTTCAAAACACTACTTCATACACGTGGCTTTCCTTTGTGAATAGGGTGAGGGCGGTGTGGTGAGGTTTGAGATTGTGAGGAATTGTGTTTTGAGACTTTTCAAAACACTACTTCATACACGTGGCTTTCCTTTGTGAATAGGGTGAGGGCGGTGTGGTGAGGTTTGAGATTGTGAGGAATTGTGTTTTGAGACTTTTCAAAACACTGATTCATACACGTGGCTTTCCTTTGTGAATAGGGTGAGGGCGGTGTGGTGAGGTTTGAGATTGTGAGGAATTGTGTTTTGAGACTTCTCAAAATACTACTTCATACACGTGGCTATTCTTTGTGAATAGGGTGAGGGCGGTGTGGTGAGGTTTGAGACTGTGAGGAATTGTGTGGAGACCAGGGGGAAAGAGGAGGCGAGGTGGGGGGTATCTTGGGGATGGGTGGGGATCATGGGGTGGTGCACCCTTGCCTGCTGTTTCATTCTGTGTGCCGCACCCACCATCCCTCTTTGCACATGTCTTCTCTTCGCTTCTGTTTCAAGAAAATGCAACCACACTTCCCTGACGTCCTGACCCCTTCCCTCTCAACCTCATCCTCCACCTTTTCGCCCCTCCCTGTGTCCGCCCCCTCCCTGCCTGCCCCTCCCCATGTCCGCCCTACCCTGGTCAACCCCTCCCCTCTCTGTCCTGCTCCGCCTGCCCTTGGCCAATGAGGCGATGCAGAAGTGCAGATAGCACCAGAGCATGTGGGGGGCGTTGTGGAGCCACAAATACCCAAGCGATGATGCAGAATTTTGCGAGTCTAATGCTGTGTAGTGTAGCTGCTTTGAAGGCAATATAAAGAAATAGAAAATAAATATTAGTTTTAGTTTGCTACTTTTGCTTGCGCCACATCTCCACAGCCTCGGGCGGGCCACTCTCTGTCTTAGTCCGGCATTTTCAGGCTCATGGACTCGCTGAACCTTGCATTTGCACATGCTCGTCCAAGTTTGTTGGTGACTGATGCCATTATGGGCTCTGCCATCATGATGCTACTGTACCGTATATGGACTGATCATAACAGCATGATTACTGGTACAGCTGCTTCGCCATCAGCAGCGCTCTCAGTTGTTTTGTACAGCTGCTATGCCATCAGCACATTCCTATCGAGTAGGTCTCCTAACACCTTGTCCTCTCCAAATCGATCATTGAGCGATTTCAAGATATATAATAACTGGATTGAATACAATGCAAACAAAATAATGAGATAATCTTCATCGAACCTCCACAAATTGACAAAGAAAATGCTGCTAGTTTCTCTTTACGGGAATGAAATTTTGCAATAGCTGCTGAAGCAAGTATTCCTACGTGACATCTATGATATATTTTAGCTTCGTCTTTGGCACGCTTCTTATCGAGGTTTCTCATGCTCGATACATTTCTTGCCTTGACCCCTGGTCAGGACGCGTTACAACTAAATCATCAGAGGAGGTTCGGAGTCCCACCGAGGCTGAGACATCAACTCCTCCGAGCCACGTGTCGCGATCGCTCTCGGGTTCGTTAGTTTTCGGGATTACAAATGCTTGATTTGAGTGGTGACAGATCGTTATGGAAGATATCTCGCCCTCGGCGACGTGACTTGAGTATTAGCGAGAATCCGCGAACAGGGATACAAGATATGACGAACAACTGTACGACCTCATATCGATCCCCGACATATCGATGTTTCAGCTGTAACCAGTCCTAATCACACGAATCTCCGATCTGCTTTTTCTGGTGCGGAAAATCCTTTTTCTCAAATTACCTCGTGTAGTGTATCGAGACGTGGTCGTTAGTGGAACGTTCTCCCTCACTTGTGCTTGTATCTCCCCTTCTAGTCTCGATATTTCCCCCTTCTTCTCTCGCCTCGGCTTTGCTGTCACGCGCGTCGCCGTATCGTCGCCACCATGTTTCGCAATCAGTACGACACGGATGTCACCACGTGGAGCCCCGTCGGCCGCCTGCACCAGGTGATCCGTCCCTCTCTCCGCCTCTCGCCCCGCCGATCCGCCTCTCTGCTGCTATCACGTTTCACCGCTCTGCGAGACTGCCAGCCTGTTAGACTGCTAAGCCTCCAGGGCAGGAACTCCTCTCGCGAATCGCCTCGGTAGGACAATTCTACAGTCCGATGGCAGTGCGACGGCTGTGCCACCCTTGAATAAATCAGCGTTCGAATTCCGCGACCGAATTCGGATCCCATGAAACCCCCTTGCTCTGCTCTCCCTCGCCCAGACCGTCGTCTTCCCTTGGTGCCAAGCGAGCAGCACGCTGCTGCCCCCACACTGCTCTTTACCCACCGCGCCCTCCCTTCTCCTCCCCTCCCCTCCCCTCCCCTTCTTTTTCCTCCCCTCTCCTTCCCTCCCCTTCTTTTTCCTCCCCTCCCCTCCCTCTTTCCGCCCTCTCCCTCCCTCCCCGACCTCCCCCTCCCTCCCCTTCTTCAATCTCCCTCCAGGCTGCCCGTTCCCGTCCCGTCGAGCCCCCGCAGCGACCACCCCGCGTGCTGCCCTCCCGCTGTTGTTTCCCCACCGCGCGTGCTGCCCTCCCGCTGTTGTTTCCCCACTGCGCGTGCTGCCCTCCCGCTGTTGTTTCCCCACCGCGCGTGCTGCCCTCCCGCTGTTGTTTCCCCACTGCGCGTGCTGCCCTCCCGCTGTTGTTTCCCCACCGCGCGTGCTGCCCTCCCTCTGTTGTTTCCCCACCGCGCGTGCTGCCCTCCCGCTGTTGTTTCTCCACTGCGCGTGCTGCCCTCCCTCTGTTCTTTCCCCACCGCGCGTGCTGCCCTCCCGCTGTTGTTTCCCCACCACGCGTGCTGCCCTCCCGCTGTTGTTTCCCCACCATGCGTGCTGCCCTCCCGCTGTTGTTTCCCTGCCGCACCTCGCCTACCCTACCCCATCGCTTCCTCCCTTTTGCGTCCTTCGCGGTTACCCCCGCGCGCGCGATTGTCTCCTCCTTTCCCCTTGTCAACCTTCTCGCTTCTTCCTCCCTCTTCCCTCGCCCAACCCCCACCTCATCCCATTCCAACCCGTCCCCTAGCGTCTCACCCCTTTCGCAATCAGGCGGATACGCCACAGAGGCCATTCTCTCACTGCTCCCTCACACGCCCCTCTCCCCCCAACACCCTGCCCTCCCACCTGTCCCCCCCCACGGCCTCGCTCCTGCGCATGTGAGAGGGGATACGCCATGCACGCCATGCACTGGTCTCCAAGCCGCCCTTCCTCCCTCTGCCCCAAGCGTCCCCCCAACCCCAATCCAGCTGCCATGCGAAGGTGGATTAAGGCGTGGGGGCGACGCAGCTGACGGGCTGCTTGGGCGACATGCTTGCATTGCTGCCTAACCTCCCTTTTCCACTCCTCCTCCCCTTCACACCCGTTACACCCTTCACACCCCTCACATCCTTCACACCCCTCACATCCTTCACACCCCTCACACCCCACACCCCTCACACCCCTCACACCCCTCCCCCTCCCCCCACCAGCAGGTCGTGTGCGCAGGGCAGTGTGCGCAGGGCAGTGTGCGCAGGGCAGTGTGCGCAGGGCAGTGTGCGCAGGGCAGAGTGCGCAGGGCCAACCACGCAGTGCTCGCCACTCTCTCCCACTCCACTCCTTCCCTTGCCGTGCCTCCCTGCTCGCTCCCGTGCCATGCTCTTCTCTCCCCCACGCTCCCCGCACATGGCACCAGATGGAACATGCGATGGAGGCAGGGAAGCAGGGCAGTGCGGCACAGGCAAGACACGTGTGCCTCGCGGCCATCCTTCCTCGTGCCCTCTCCCCCCCTCTGTCTGCCCCTCTCCTCCCCACCAGGTGGAGTATGCAATGGGGGCAGTGAATCAGGGCAGTGGGGCAGTGGGCCTGCGCAGCGATGCATGCCAGCATCACTCCCTAACCTCCCTTCTCCGTTCCTTGGCGCCCAACACTCCCCTGCCCTCTCCCTCATCCCACCAGGTGGAGTATGCAATGGAGGCAGTGAAGCAGGGCAGTGCGGCGGTGGGTCTGCGCAGCACCACGCACGCGGTGCTGGCCACGCTCAAGAGAGCAGCGTCCCCCCTGGCGTCGTACCAGCGCAAGATATTCCGCGTGGACGACCACATGGGCATCGCCATCGCGGGGCTCAATGCTGATGGGCGTGTCCTTTGCCGCTTCATGCGCTCCGAGTGTCTGTCTCACAAGTGAGTGCCCCGTGCTTCAATCCCTCACGCACCAATGGGTGCTCCACACCACACATTGTCCACTCCACACACCGCCCACTCCACACACCGCCCACTCCACACACCGCCCACTCCACACACCGCCCACTCCACACACCGCCCACTCCACACACCGCCCACTCCACACACCGCCCACTCCACACACCGCCCACTCCACACACCGCCCACTCCACACACCGCCCACTCCACACACCGCCCACTCCATACACCGCCCACTCCACTCACCGCCCACTCCACACACCGCCCACTCCACACACCGCCCACTCCACACACCGTCCACTCCACACACCGCCCACTCCACACACCGTCCACTCCACACACCGCCCACTCCAGCGCAACATCTCCCACACGTAGTTGGTTACTGCAGTGAGGGCGCCGCAAGTTTCTCCCCTGGCGTGCTACCAGCGCAAGATCGTCCACATGGGTATCGCCATTACTGTGTCAATTTATGCGCTCCGAGTGCGCGCCACATAAGTGAGTACACATGGGCAGATTAATGTTCTGTGGGTGCTTGTCGCATGGGCATGGGTGCGTGTCTCACAAAGGACTGCTCCTCACCTTTCTCTCGTCGCCCTTCCAGACATCCTTCCTTCAATCAACTGCCATCCCTCTACTTACCCTTTTCTCAATAGCGTACGTGTACCTGTGGTCTCCGATGTTCATCTACCTCTCTGTCCCCCCCCAGGGTTGTTCTACAGGCCCTTCTACTGCCAGGCTTCAGTTCCAATATCAGTGGTAGAACCACTACTCTCTCCCCTGAATTATCTTTGCCCCCGTCTCCCACCACCCTTCTCTCCCTCCCACTTTCTTCCCCTTAACTGTCTATCCCCATGTCCACGTCTGCCCTGCCATCCACTACCCTCCCCACATCTCCCATCCCCTCCCAGGTTTGTCTTCGAGTCGCCTCTCCCGGTGGGCCGCCTTGTCTCCATGGTAGCAGACAAATCTCAGGTGTGCACGCAGCGCTCGTGGCGCCGCCCGTACGGCGTGGGGCTGCTGGTGGCCGGCTTCGACCAGACCGGCCCGCACATTTTTCAGACCTGCCCGTCGGGCAACTTCTGGGAATTCCACGCCATGGCAATCGGGGCGCGTTCGCAGGCCGCCAAGACGTACCTTGAGCGCAAGTATGAGTCGTTCGGGGCGTGTTCGCTGGACGAGCTGGTGCGACACGCGCTGCTTGCTGTGAAGGAGTCGCTGCAGGAGGGGGAGCTGAGTGGAGCCAACTGCAGTGTCTCTATTGTGGGGGAGGGGCAAGCGTTTAGCATTTTGACGGATGCGCAGGTGCAGGAGCATATAGATAGGATGGAGAATGAGGAGGGTGGGCAGGGAGGGGCGGCGAAGGAGGAAGTAGAGGTGGTGGAGGAGGTAGAGGTGGAGGATGTGGAGGAGGAGAAGGCAGGGGAAGGAGAGGAGGGTGGTACCAGGGAGGGGTCTGAGGGTCCTGCTCCTATGGAGGCTTGATAATTGAGGTGCGGAGCATATATTTTGACACGAGTGCAAGTAATTGTAAATCACGCAGCATTGTGATGCTTGTGGTTTAATTGATTAGCTATAACTTCTGTGCTTGAACTCCAAGAGCGACTGTCTAAGAATACTGTACGGTACGACTATCTGGTGGCTGTTATTTCGTTGAACAGTAGGTTTTGCACATCAATGTACAGTCCAATACTCTTGGGTTCCATGACTGGTGTCTCTTATAAAGCGTACAGCATGGAGATATCTTCCCGGGAAGATATCAGCGAGATCCCTCCGAAAAGCCCGCTTTGCCCCTGCGGGTTTTCCTTGGAGGGATTTTCGTTTTCCCGCAGTCGTCTAGTGGCGCACGCGAGGGGCGGGAGGCGACCTGCCCTCTCGCCCGAAAACGGGCACCCCCAGCTGATGACGCCAGCGACCCGCGCCCTCGAGCTGGCAGTGGTCCCCCCCAACCGAACCCAACCACACCCTCGGTTCGATGACGGGTTCCGTCCGGTAACCCACCGAACCCTCACCGGGCGTCGCCTCGTCAATGGTGTTGGAAACAATCGGTCCTAAGCGCCTCTGTCGTGTCGAAACACTAAGGCACAAGCGAAGCGAAGCATACCGAAGCACCGGCGAGTCAACCCTCGGAGGTTGAAGCAACCGTTGGAGGTTACTCGAAAGTCAAAGGTCAGCGACCTTTGACCTGACAAGTACAGCGCGACAGCAAGGACACACAACTGACTCGCTACAGAGCAGTTGCCCGAGTCGTCACTGTATCGAACCGCAACAGCAACAGTAAAAGTAGTTACAACCGTATCTCTTCGCATTCCTTGTACTCTTATATATTCTTGTATCTCTTTGCTTCAATCAACTTACTTTGCCCTCACATACTAGCGCAAGGTGGTTCAGAATCCCTTTATTAAAACGCTTCCGCTACTACATCACTCTACCCAGAGATTAACCCTACCAAAGATCCTAAGGGGCACTCAGCCCAACATCTCATAATCTTAAGCAAAGGTAGGCTTAGAAGCCATAACTTAGGTGCCTAGGTGCTCGAGTTCGAGGGTGAGGAGGAAGGTATCAAGAGATTTTTGAAAGAGAAGAAGTGGTTTCACTAGGAAGAGTTGGGATACAAGTACAATGCCCTAAATTGGGTTGTACTCATTACAGAGTACCCCACTGCAGGCTAGACAGCAAATATATTCTGACACACCCCCATAGCCAAAGTGGGGTGTAATCAGCAGAGCAGGCAAAGCAGTACAAGCTCAGGGTGGATCACAATGTCACCACACATTCTGAGCACAAGTTCAAGAAGCAATAGTTAAAGTGCACAATTATCAGCAAAGCTAGTGGTAGTCACAACGGGCAAGTGAGGAGGAGGAGGGAGAGTGAGAGGAGAGGAGATAGAAGGCGGCGGCTGAAGCTGCAGACACACGGGCAACAGGAGTGGCGAGCACAGTGGCTACCGGACTAAGCGCCCGGACTACAGGAGTAACAGGCCCCGCGACTCAAGTAGCGGCAGACGGGCAACGGACCCTCGGGCGTCTGGCGCAGCAACAAACTCACTGGGCTACTGGACTAAGCGCCCGGACTACAGGTGCTGCGGACAACAGACTGGCAACCTCCGCTCATCCTCCCGCACACAGTCCCACCCCCCGACACACACCCGCTGCTATACCGCTAGCTCCACTCCCACCCACCCCCCCTTAAACCCTAAACCCAAGTCTCCCACACATCCACCCCCCTCAGCGAGAGCTGTAGCAGTGGGAGACGAAGGAGGAGGAGGAGGAGGGGACGACACGCACAACCGACACCCCCACAACTAGCACCCCAACACTCACCCCCCACGGCTGCACCTGGTCCATGAGCGGCTGCTGCAGGGGCCAGGGGCGGCTGCTGCTGGTGCGGCTGCTCCAGTGGCTGTCGCTGCTGGGGCTGCTGCTGGGGCGGCTGCTGCTGCTGCTGCTCCACGTGCTGCTGCTGGTGGGGTGGCTGCTGCAGTAGCAGCGGCTCCAGGGGCTGCTGCTGCTGGGGTGGCCGCTTCAGAGGCAGCTGCTGCTGGGGCGGCTGCTCCAGTGGCTGCTGCTGGGGCGGCTGCTCCCGGGGCTGCTGCTGCTGGGGCGGCTGCTCCCGGGGCTGCTGCTGCTGGAGCTGCTCCAGGGGCTGCTGCTGCTGGGGCGGCTGCTCCCGGGGCTGCTGCTGCTGGGGCGGCTGCTCCACAAGCTGCTGCTGCTGGGGTGGCCGCTCCAGAGGCAGCAGCTGCTGGGGCGGCTGCTCCCGGGGCTGCTGCTACTGGGGCGGCCCCAGGGGCTGCTGCTGGGGCGGCGGCTCCTGGAGCTGCTGCTGCTGCGGTGGCCGTTTCAGGGGCTGCAGCTGCTGGGGCTGCTGCAGCGGAAAGTAGGACGGAGGGGAGGGGAAGGGCGCGGCCCCCATTGTGCCCTGAAGGGTGACGTGCTAGGGAGCCGCGCAGGTCCCCGAAAGTGCCGCGACGGGCGACGAGAGGGGACCGCGCGCAGGCCCCTAAGGCGCCGCGACGAGGCAACGGGAGGGGCCGGCTCGCGAGCCCAGAAAGTGCCGCGACGAGGCGACGGGAGGGACCTGCGTGCGGGCCCCCAAAACGCCGCGACGAGGCGACGGTCGGGGCCAGCGCGCGGGCTCCCAAGACGCCGCGACGAGGTAGGTACCCGCCGCGCGCTTCGGGGCGCACGGCGGGCAGAAAACCGCCACGCGCCCCGAGCGCGTGGCGGGAAGAAAAAAAGGTGGTCGTGCGCCACGGGGCGCACGACACACAATAGGGCAGCGGAATCGAGTGGGCCCACAGGCCAGGAGCGTTAAGCTCTAATACCATCTCAGAATCTTAAGCAAAGGTAGGCTTAGAAGCCATAACTTAGGTGCCTAGGTGCTCGAGTTCGAGGGTGAGGAGGAAGGTATCGAGAGATTTTTGAAAGAGAAGAAGTGGTTTCACTAGGAAGAGTTGGGATACAAGTACAATGCCCTAAATTGGGTTGTACTCATTACAGAGTACCCCACTGCAGGCTATACAGCAAATATATTCTGACACAACATGGTATGAGAGCAGGTTAGGGTTAAGATTCTATTTCCCCTTAAATTACACCAAGAGACATGTCTACCAGAAAGGAGAGGAGCTCCTCCAACGGCTCTCCTGGTACTACTCCTACTCCACCTCCTGCCTCTGGCCTACAGAAAGAGGAAGGCACAACAACGAGACCGGCCGCTGGGTCTACTGAAACACCCGCAAACCAAGGCGCGGGCTTCGATCCAAGCATGATGGAGAAATTCTTCTTCTTCATGTCCTTCTACGAGCAGCATCAGCAAGGAGTACTTGCGCAATCAAACAACAGCAACAACAACAACAACGTGACACCCATGAGTCTCGATGGCTCATCCTACGCACGCGGGAATCAACAACAACAACCTACCTTAGCTCCGTACGAGCCCCAGCGCGGCTCCGTCAGCTTCATGCCACAACCATAACCTGCACCGGGACAAGAGAGAACACTGGACGCACTACAAGTTCAGTCACAGTTCGCGCACGTTCTAAAACTACAAACGACATAACCCTTCGACGGGAAGGATTTCTTCACCTGGTCGTTCGAATTCGAGCTGATGATGGAAGGAGCGCAAATCCTTGGCTTCTTCGACGGGTCCCTGCCATACCCAACAAACGGCACACAATATGAGAAGCAGCAGTACACCTATCAATCGATGATGGCGTACACGATACTACTGAGGAACATCACCCCGAATCAACAGTAGAACATAAGGACTTACCGAGGTTATGGCAACTCCGCGGAGCTCGCGTACAACCACTTGAAGAACCTGTATCAAGCAACAGACAGTGTAAACCAAAGTCGGTTAATGGCGCAGCTGACAACAATCGAAATGAAACCAGGCGAGAAGGGAATGGCGTATATCAGTCGCTGACGCGAGCTGCGTGACAAGCTTCTTTGATGTGGAGGATCGATTTCAGAAGACGCCTTCGTCACGGTTGTCATCGGCGGTCTTGGTCCTCACTGGCGCTCCACTCGCGCCATACTACGAGCACATGGGAGAATCTCCGAAGCAGCACTCTGCGCCGAAATCCATGCTGAGCAGCAAGAGATGGACCTGCAAGAAGAATGACACAAGAGAAAGGTATCAGTACCCGAATTCGCGTTTCACACTCAACGGCGCCACAACAACAACAACAGTCGACCGAAAATCGTACCTCCGTTCTGCCACCTCTGCAAGACTTCAGGGCATCCTCGTACACACTGCCCGAATCGACAACAGTCAACGACGCCGCAACGCCAACTTCGCCCTTCAAGCAGTCAAGTCGCCTCAACGGAAGCAAATCCGACAACTTCGGTACAAGTCTCAACAACATCGACGGGACAACCTGCGAAAGAAACAAGAAACATCATCAGCTGCATGGCAAGGCTGAGCGACTCCTGCGTAACTGAGTCACCACCATGTTACTCACCGGAAGAACAACTCGACAACAGCACGCCTCGCCACGAGTCACTTCAACCGAACCCGACGTACGCCGTCATCGCTCAAAGCGAACCGTCCGGGAAAGACACATGGTTCTTGGACAGTTGCTGCGGACAGCACATGTGCTCCTCGGGACGCTTCGTCCAACGCGAGCACCGACTTCAACGAGAGGTCGTCATCACAGTCGCCAACAACCAGAACCTACGCACATGACGACAAGGAGTAGTGCAACTTCAGTCACGAGAGACAAATGTTATACTGCAGATGTCAAAAGTACTAATCGCGGAGGGACTCGGCTACAACTTACTGAGCGTCAGTCAGTTGATGACGAAAGGCATACACCTGGAAGCCGACAGTACCACCCAGGAGTTCAAGCTGTACCACGGGAAGGGCGGCCTCTACATCAGAAAGGCGGTTCTGAAGAACAATGTCTTCGTCCTCGACTTCGTCCCAGACCTGGGCACCGCAGATAGCGACGCCATCGTGAACTTCACCGACTGGACACATCC